CCACCGAGGCATGCTCAGCAAGCAGGGCCTCCGGTTGCCCGACGCTGGCCCTTGGCCCAGGGGGAGACGAAGTAACGGGCGGAGGCGAAGAAGCGCGCGGCGGGACAGCCTCTGTGCCCTCTTCAGAACTTGAGCATAGCCCGCCGAGAATATCGGGCATAGGGTTGGCGGCGCTGGCTTCCGACTGTTCGGCGCCGCTCGTAGCACCCTGCGGGGAGCATGCTGGTGCAACGTCGGTTTCCGGCAGCCCTGCACCCCCTGCGGCACCGTGCAACGAGCTCGGCGGGATGGCTACAGCCCTGCTACCTCCGCCGCTCGCCACCCACGTGTCCCTTGGGGCCGAAGAACTTTGGGCATCTTCACTGCCGGCCGAAGAAGCACCCGCGCTGTCGGCCGAAGACGCGGCTGGCGCGATCACCAGAGCACTGGATTTCTTCTTTTTCGCAGGAGCCTGGGCAACAGCGGCGCCCTTCCTCTTCTTGGACTCGGCCTCCGCCGTAACATTAGCATTCTTCGCGGAGGTCTTCTTCTTCTTGTCAATTGAGGCAATAACCTCCGCGGGAACCTCATGCTCCCGGTAGACGATCCCAAGCTCCTCAAAAACTCGATTGAGCCACGGCATGATGCCGAACACGGCTCTCTGAGACATGTACTCACGCTAGGAAATTTTGCCGACCAACCCGATAGCAGCTTCCTCAACCTCGGAGACGAAACTGTCCTCCGTTACGCCCTCGCCCAAAGACTGGCCAAAGCGGGGGAACGGAATCCCAGCCTCCGGCCCAAAAACGGGAATCTTCACCATTTCAAGCCTAAAGGGTGGATTGTCTCCTTTAAGGGGCCAATAGTCGGAGGCCATGATCTCCTCCACCAGATCGCGGCCCCCGGAGTAGCGGCACGCCAACGCGAAGGCCCGGTCACAGGCCTCCCTCGCTGGAGATACCGCCTCCGGTGGCTCCACGCGCGTATGCGGCGCCATAGCCTCCATCCTTGAAGTCAGTGGGTACTCCACGACCTCCACGCCATCGTCGGTGGTGCCGCGAACCCTGTAGGTCTTCACGTAAAACCACCCCTCGAGCCAGCCGCGGTCCCATTTGCCCTTCTGGCAAAAAGAAATCTCCAGGCGATCTACGCCTTGGTTCCTCTTCGCCATGAAGGTACAACTACCATACTGGCAGACCACCTCCACCTCCTTGCCGTCCCGCATCTCTTTCCTCTTCTTCGGTTGTTTCTGCAGCTCGTAGTAGGTGCAGAAGGTGTCCACATCCGGCTCGGCGCCATAAGAAGCACACGCCCAGCAGAATTTGCTGAGCGTAAGGAAGGCCGTAGGGGTCAGATGGTGGAGCTGGACGTTGAAGGTCTCCAACACCCGGCGGAGGAAGGGACCGTAAGGAAGGCGGAGGCCGCAGACGAAGAAGTCCCGAAACACCACCGCATATCCCTCCTTCGGCTCCGGAACAGTCTGGCCAGACGGAGGGATCCTTACCCTAGAAGGTGGAAAATACGACTCCTTCGACATCTCCGTGACCGCCTCTTCAGTAATGGAGGAGGGGCCGAAGTCCCATGACTTTATCGCCATGTCTCCAGAATCCGCAGTGATCAGGTCTCCGACGGACGCGGAGATACTCCCCAAATCTTCCTCCAGCAGATTCTCAAAATCCAACGCGGACGCGGAGGCAAGCATGCACTCCTCGAAACGTGCACCCCAGCCGCCTGCCCTAACACCAAGAAGGTGGCGATAGGGACCGAAGAAGGCGGGCCGGCGAGTATGGGCGAAGGTGGAAGAGAGAGCCACCGCGACTGCAACCACGGAGGAATGCGCAAGCGGAAAGAAGGAACACGCGGACGCGACTCAGGCGTGAGCAAAGAAAGCAGAGAGCGGTGTCTGGCGCTGCAAGGCAAGCAAACGAGTCGTGTGGGGGGGGACCCCGCCACCAACCTCGCCCTTATATAGGCCACGAGCGGGTGGCTCAGCTCCCGCCGAACAACGGTCATCTCCAGTCAGCCCGACTGGCGGCAACGGTCTTCTCCGGATAGTTGGCCTGAAGCCCAACGGTCATCTCCGGATAAAATGCAAGGTGCGCAACGGCTAGGTTAAAACGGCCACTTCGACAAGACCAACGGCCGTGCCAGAATGGGTCAGGGGGGAACCGGCGGGGATCGGTCGAAGACATGACTACGCGTAGTCACCGCCCCCAACCGGCGGGGATCGGTCGAAGACGTGACTGCTGCGCGTAGTCTCCGCCCCCATGGACGTCCTTGTTTGGGGCGTTTTTTGAGCTCACGACACGCTCAGGCGGACCGTGGTCTCAAAAGGGGGAACTGTTGTAACATGGCCGCCACGGGTGGCGGAGACCCGCGCAGTCCGTAGGATACGAGGGCACCTCCGGCCAGGAGGGCGAAGGCCGCCTCACCTCCAAACTAATTAAACAACGATCTTGCCTAATTGTGTGTGTACTTGCCGCGGGCGCCGGGACGCATGCGAAGGCAGTTACTGCCTTCGCGTGGCGGGGCGGAGGCCTGCGGATGATGCCTCCGACCGGACCGGCGGAGACCCGCCAGGGTGACGGCGCGCCCCTGAAGGCGGAGGCCAGCGTCGACAGCCATGGCCCCCACGTGGCCGGGCGGAGACCCGCGGGAGATGTCTCCGACCGGCCGGCGGAGAACCGCCGAGATAGCATGGCGCCCCTGGAGATGGGGGCCAGCACCGGGGACCCAGGCCTTTGGGCCGAAGACCGAAGCATGGTGGGCCGACTGCTCATGGAGGCCCATTACTCGGAGACGGTATGGCAGGATTGCCCCGCAAACGAGAGGCTAGCGGCGGAATATTCCAGGAATATACTGTAGCAGTTGAGGGGCATTGTAATAAATTCTGTCATGAAGTAGTTGAGCCCTATAAATAGGGAACACTTATAACCGTGCAGGGGATGGTTGGAAAATGCATTAATGAAACCCTAGCTTTCCGTGCCCTTTCCCTTACACGCCCAGTGATCGTTCCTGTTAACCGAGCGTCCGCCTGAGGACAGCCGTCCACGGGCGGAGGCCCCCAGCTACCTGTCTGAAACCGCAAGTTTCAACAGGATGAAAATCTTGAGAACCGGATTTGGTTAGTTTGCATGCATGCGGTGCTTTGTTGGATGCTGAAAGTGACGTGAGAGTGAGGTGAGAGAAATGTGAGAGTGAGGTATGTGTTGGGAGAGAGATGAGCGCATTGCGCCCAGGCGAGAGAAGCAAGCTGGCGTCGGAGACAAAAAGAAGGGGGAAAGCCTGGTACCCCCGTTGGTGCGCTCAAAAGCTGCCTGCACCGTTTTAGGGGTGGACATTATACACCCGTGGGGGATAAAGAACACGGGTGCAAGTAGGATATTATATATATATATATATATATATATATATATATATATACTGCCATGTAGCTCGCTACAAAATAACTTAGTTTGTAGTCACTTTGAGTTACAATAATTATCATGTTAATTTACGAGATTATAGTAACTCCTTACTAAGTGGTTTACTATAACATTATGGTAAATATCCCCATGTGTTATAGTAACCCAACTATCGTAAATATGTGTTGGCATTATCGTAAATTAGTATATAAAATTATCGTAAATGGATAGAATAACTTATTTTGTAGCTAACTACTAAATATACTCTCCATATATATATATATATATATATATATATATATATATGCACACACTCAACCGGATGGGATCTGGATCGACAACGACACGAGAAAAATGAGTTGATTTGACTCTAGATGAAGACTCGGAATAGAAAGCTGGGTGCTTTTTCTTTGCAGGTGAGCACGGTGTTGCTACGAAGTTGTCACTGTAGGAATTTTCAGGACGACCAAAGTCAGTCAACGCTCGTGTTGTGTTATGCAAGGGTCACCGTGTCTGCGCCGAGTTCAGAAAGGGAGATTGCTTTGGTTATTTCACTTGAATATTGTATCATCCTTTTCGGTAACTACAGTACAGGGTAATTTGCGCCTTTTTCATTTTCTGAACTAAGGTGGACTCATTACCTATTGTTTCGGTAAACAGTGATGTGCATTGGCATGTCGCATTTCTTCTCATTTCTCAACCTTCCGATCGAAATTTGCCTCCGATCAATTGCTGGTACATCACAAATGCAATACTAGAGAATTTATACACAACCATAACTAGCTAGTACTGGTAATACCACAGAGCAGAAATAATGTTTGCAGGCTGTCCCGCTAAAATCTATTTGGCCTAGACTCTGCCAGAGATGCTATCACTATAACATCTCCATGGCTCAGATATCTCCAAAGAGGTGAATCAGCTTAAAGTATGGATCATTTCTGAATTCACCCTGGTCACCCAATTATTTTCCTTTTTGAGCATGCTTAAATTTGATTTCAAGTTCATTCCATGGGTTAGCATCAGAATCATTTGTACAGTTGTATGCTATTGTAGTACCATGCAATAGGATGCCTGCCAGCAATCAGCGGCCCATCAAAAACTGTAGGAACCCAGATCAATATGAAGGAATGCAGAAATACAACTACTAGTAGGATTGTATATATCACAGCGAAAACCAGTCAAAACAAATGTACACACAAACAACCAGAAAAAAACATGGATGACATAGCAAGATACACCACAAAACTACAATACAGGATAGCAATAGAAAATTACAACACCAATTCACTGGTCCAACCTTCTCTATAATATAAAAACATTTGCACACCATCAGTATATTTTAGAAGAAATCCGAACTGGGACTATGCAGTATGAATAAATAAACCACATACACAAGAAAAATAGACTGATCAGTATGTGCCCAAGGAGGAAGCTTTCAGGTTTCACCGTTTATTATTGGTACGATGGTTGCATAATCGATCTTTCTAATCGGTTAGACTGGATCGAGCAGCAGTGAAGAAATAAGAGGAAGCCAACAGCACCAGTCACTAATTCTTGATAACATTATGACAGGAAACTGACATTCTAGAGCTCACAATCCCCAGTGGACGAAAGTACTTATTCCATCTTCAAAACAGGTTTCTTTTGATGCCTGGCAAGTTGTTCCTCCACATCTTTTTTGAGTTTGTCATCATGGGAACCCTTAATCTGGACTTCCTTGAGTTCATATTCAGACAGTTTTTCTAGCCCAGAGAACTTCATTACCGACCCTGAACCACTACAACAGGAAACTTTCAACAGCTCAAGATTGTGCAGTGCTTGTGATCCAAAAGTCACATCTAAGCTGGAGCTGCAAGAAATCTCGAGTACCTTCACTGTTTCATAGCAGCGTAATTGCTGTCCATGCAACATGACACAAAAATTGAGCTTACCATCAGGAAGCTGCTTGGCAATGAGACGTAGAATAGATACTTTAAGATCCCTGAGTCCACTGATGAGCGTAATTGCTGTGTTCGGCTGGTGCATTCAATAGTGATTTTTGGATGGTTTTGGATGATTAAATAGTATTCTGTAAGAGAGAATAAGCTGAAACAAGTTGGGAGTGTACCAGCCGAACGCGGTTGGTCTTCGGTTAATATAGTCATCTCCAAAACTAACTTCCTGAGATTGTCAAGCTGATTGATCCACTCTGGAAACTTGTCTGCAAGGCCATACAGTTTAAAGCTCTGTAGGTTCTGGGGGGGAAGATAGCCATCTGGGGTGACATACAAGCAGTCCTGATTGTCCTTGAGCCTAACTGATAAGGATTCTAAATGCGCATGACTTGAGATGGCCACACAGAAATCTTTGCTGTTGTTCTTACTGATTCCAGACACTCCAAGCTTGTGCAATTGGGTGAGCTTCCTGAACTCTTTCAAGATGGCCCTCCCCCGAGCAGAATCGACATTAACAACACCGATGGTGAGCAATGCAGTCATTCTCTCTATCCCAGTAGGAACCTCAACACACTCTAGTTGTCGACGTCTGCTGAACAAAGATGATGTCCATGATACAGAGGTATGTGGGGTTGGTTGTTTCTTTGTTGGTTTGGTTGTACCAGCAGCATCGGGTATTGGTTGTTCCTCAGTTGGTTTTGTGGTACTAGCACGAAGGTACTGCAGTTTCTTTAGCTTGGTGATGGTTGTTGGCATGGTTGCTATGGATGTATGTCTGACATCCAGAGTCTCAAGCTGCCTCGAACAACCCAATGAATTCGGCAGCCTACAGATCTCAGTGCATCTTCGTAGGGAAAGATACTTGAGGCGACAAAGCAGCTTCATCATTTGTTTGAGATCTTCATCTTTTAAACCGGATGCATCCTCAAGATCGAGAACCCGAAGTAACCTCATCCTATCAGAGATGAAGAATGACCTCCATTCTCCAAACACTGTCAAAGACCGTAGCCGTGAGAAGTCAATGCTCTCAAACACAATTATGTCTCTGTCCCAGCTTTCCATTATGATGAGGTGACGCCCTGTGCGTTGAGAGGTTAGGGTGCAACTGCTTCCCAGTTCGAAGACAAGGTTCTCTTCCATTTGACGTGATATGATATACTCTCGGACAAAACTGTTGACTTGGCACAAGGTCATTCTTCTGTCGCTGAATGCGGTGGTGACTGAATGTGGTTTCTGCATTATTATGCTCAGATCGAGGAGCCCACAGAAGAACTGCTCCCCACTCTCCTCCGCAAACATTTTGTCAGTGTCCCTGGCATAGCCCTCTGCAATCCACCGTCTCACCAAACGCCTTCTCCGGATGCTGTGATCTCGAGGAAAAATTGACAGATAGAAGATACATGGCTTGAGGAAATCCGGGCAAGTTCGAAAGTAGGAGTGCAGCCAACCAAAGAGTGGCCGCAGGCAAGCAAACTCTGGGCTGCTCTCCAGTTCTTGCATAAATTTGAGATTCATAGAACTCGCACTATTCATCCATGTGACTGTTTTAGGTGCCAAAAAAATGGCTACAGCAACTATCACTTTGGGAAGACCACCGCACTTCAAAATAAGTTCTTGTAGCTCTTCATCTTTGGAGTCCTTTATAGGAGATGATGGTTTTTGCTTATGTACCTAAAATTCAATTGAAGGACAAACGTTTTCAGCATGCTAAGCAAAATGCATTAGCTGTTTCATTCACAAAATGTATGCACATGGGGAACATACACTTCATACTGCAACTTGAAATATGCATTAAGGGCCTGTTTGCTTAGCACCCTGAAAATAAGCCAGGCACACGATTTCGTCTGCCTGCAGTCTAGATTGCCTGGGTGCAAAGCTGCGTGGGAGGCAGCATCCAAACAGGCCCTAAAATATAACAGAACAAAGAAATATACATAACTGAAATTGTTCATTAATTTTTTTTCTCGAACACGCAGAAGAGCCGTGTATCTTTATAAATTAGAGAGAAAAAAAGGGAGAGACTCCCATACAAAGCAACCTCTCCACCACACTTAGGAGATATGAACAGGTTGCAAGATGAAACAAAAATGTTCATTCATAATTGTCTTAACTGCAAATGCAAAATGAAGTGGAAGGAAAGCAGAAAGATATTATTGTTAGTCGCTGAATTCTTACTCTTGGTAGTAGCAGAATTCTTACTCTCATCGAGAGAGGATGACACTAGGAGTTGGGACAATTTTCTGGTTTATTTCTCACACAAATGCCATGCCAACCTGAGGGGTTGGTGATACATATTTATAGGCTGCTAGCCAGCCGAGCATATGCCAAGATACTAGATGCTAACATGCTAAGATGCTGTCGTAGATGCTAAGATGTTGTCCTAGATGCTAAGATGCTGTCCTAGCCAGTCAAGGATGCTGTCATTGATGGGCAGCAAGACCACCATGCAGCCACAAGGACCATATGCTGCAGCCCCACAAAGGCCAGCCAACACAGAGACTTATCCCATCATTCCCCCCCCTAAGTTTTGTGCGTCGTCTTGTGGGAAAGTTGAACCATCCCGGTCCTGGAGCAGAGCTCAAAGAACTTGATCCTCCCAAGAGGCTTGGTAAGCAGGTCCGCAAGCTGGTCATTGGTGTTGATGTAGCTCGCCTTGATGCTCCCTTCCTCCAAACAGCCTCGGATGAAGTGGTACCTCACCCGGATGTGCTTACTCCGTTCATGAAAAACGGGGTTCTTTGCCAGGGCCAGAGCGAACTTGTTGTCCATCCTGAGCTCCACCGCTCTAGTGTCTCTGCCGAGGAGATCACCAAGCAGTCGAGCGAGCCAGAGCGCTTGAGTCAAAGCGGTGGAGGCCGCTATGTACTCGGCCTTGCAGCTGGACAGGGCCACCACCAGCTGCTTGACCGACTGCCAGCTAACGAGGCACTTGCCGAAGAGGAAGAGGATCCCGCTCGTGCTCTTGCTGGTGTCGATGTCGCCGGCGTGGTCGCTGTCGCTGTACCCGACGAAGTGTGCCGCCCCAGGGCACCTAGGGTAGTAGAGGCCGTGGTCGAGAGTCCCCGCAACGTAGCAGATGATCCTCTTCATAGCCTGCTGGTGCTCCGTCGTCGGTCGCTGCATGAACCGACTAACGTAGCCGATGGAGAATGCCAAGTCCGACCGTGTGTGGGCGAGGTAGCGAAGGCTCCCCACAAGACGCCAGTACTGCGTAGCGTCCACCTCCTCCGTCGTGCTGTTGCGGCTCAGCTTCAGCCTCTCCTCCATCGGAGTGAGAGCTGGGTTGCAGTCGGTGAGCCCAGCTAGCTCAACGACGCGCTTGGCGTAGGCGGTCTGTCAAAGCATGATCCTGGAGTCATACTGGTGCACCTCGATTCCCAGGTAGAAGGGGAGAGGCCCCAGGTCACTCATCTGGAAGGTGGCCTTCATCTCTTCCTTGAATGCCGCCACCTCCGCATCCTTGGTGCCGGTGATCACCAAGTCGTCGACGTAGACACCCACCAGCAGAGCATTTCCTTCACTGCCCCATCGATAGATGGCCGCCTCGTGCGGGCTTTGCTCGAAGCCCATCCCCTTTAGCGTGGAATCCAACTTGGCATTCCACGCCCTCGGTGCCTGCCGCAAGCCATAGAGGGCCTTGTGCAGGCGGAGCACCTTGCCCTCCTTGCCGGGGATCGCAAATCCCGGCGGCTGGTGCACGCAGACCTCCTCCTTTAAGTCGCCGTTAAGGAACGCCGACTTGACATCCATGTGATGAACACGCCAGCCCTCCTAGGTAGCTAGCGCAAGGAGGAGTCGCACGGACTCCATCCGTGCCATGGGAGCAAAGGCGTTGTCGAAGTCGACCCCCTCCTGCTGCACGAAACCTCGTGCCACCAAGCGAGCCATGTGCTTGACGATGGCGTCGGCTTCATCCCTCTTCAGCTTGTACACCCACTTAAGGGTGATCACGCGGTGACCACGAGGAAGGTCAGCAGGCTCCCAGGTGCGGTTCTTCTCATCTCAACCGCATCCATCTCCAACTGCATCGCGACGCGCCATGCCGCGTGTCTCTCGGCCTCTACAAACGACCGAGGCTCGCCGTCGTCACACGCAAGGTGCAACTACGCCTCTAGGTCATGAGGCACCAGTCCCGGCACCGGCTGGTCGCCAAGAATGTTCTCCATCATACGGTACCGCAATGGCTTGCCGTCGTGGTATGTGTCGATGCGCTCCTCGGCGTGAGAGAGCGAAGTAGCGAGCTCAACCGGGTTGTGCTCGACACAAGCTGGTGTTGGAGTAGACGTGCCCGGAGAGGTGCATATCGGTGCTGGAGTGCGTGGCGGTACCGGCTGTGGTGGAGCCGACGAAGAACTCATCGCAGCCGAGGTCCTGGCTGGAGAGCGTGGTGCTGTCGGAGTAGCGGGCGCTGGGGTCGATGGAGGCTCGGGGACTGGGTTAGATGCGCTCATCGAAGAAGAGCTGCCTACTCCCGTAGCTCCCTTAAAGTGGACGTACTCGACTGTGAAGTCGTCGTACGTCGGAGCCGAGCCGTCGTCCACCGCCTTGTCCCACGCCCATCCTCGTCCTTCGTTGAACACAATGTCGTGCGCCGTGCGCACATGCTATGTCTTTGGGTCGAGGATGCGGTAGGCCTTCGAGCCCTCCGCGTAGCCGATGAACACTCCCAGAGTGCTCCTGTCGTCGAGCTTGCTGATGTGGCCAAGCTCCTTGGCGAACGCGAGGCAGCCGAAGACCCGCAAGTGGGAGACCGCCGGCTTGCGCCCATGCCAGGCCTCGTACAGCGTCCTGTCGTCGAGCGCCTTGGTAGGCGACTGGTTGAAGATGTAGACGGCCGACACCACCGCCTCTCCCCAGAAGACAGCCGGCATCCCCCTCTGCTTGAGAAGGGCCCGAGCCATCCCCACAACCGTCTGGTTGCGCCGCTCGACGACGCCGTTCTGCTGCGGGTTGTACGGCGCGGAGTAGTGGCGCTGAATGCCCTCATCAGCGCAGTACGATGCGAATTCAGCCGCCGTGAATTCGCCACCGTTGTCGGTGCACAGCACGCGCAGCTTGCGGCCGCACTCCACCTCCGTAGCAGCCTGCAAGCGCCTGATGGTGTCCACAGCCTCTCCCTTGCTGCCGAGGACCATCACCCACATGTAGTGGGAGAGGTCGTCGATGAGCAGCAGGAAGTAGCATCGTCCTCCCGGTGTGGCCGGTGTCACCGGGCCACACAAGTCCCCGTGAACAAGCTCGAGCCTCTCCTTGGCTCGAAAGCTCGCCCACTGGGGAAAGGGGAGTCGCCTCTGCTTCGTCAACACATAGACATTGTAGAGCTGCTCCACATGGTCGAGGCACGGCAGGCCTCGCACCATCTCCGTGGCACTGAGCCGCTTCAGGGCCTCGAAGTGAAGGTGCCCGAAGCGCTCGTGCCACTGCCATGCCTCGTCGTCACGACGAGCAGCGAGACAGAGGGGTTGTGCCACCTGCACGTTAAGGACGTAGAGTCGATTTGTGCTTCTGGTTACCTTGGCAAGAAGGCGACGGTGGCGATCCCAAATCCTCATGACTCCATCCTCAACCACCACGCGCGAACCATTCTCATCCAGCTGTCCCAAGTTGATGATAGAGTTCCTCAATGCGGGGATGTAGTAGACTCTGGTGAGCAGCCTGTGCTAACCAGACACGGCGGTGAAGATGACAGAGCCGACGCCCTTGATCTCCACGCCGGAGGCATCCCCAAACTTGACGGAGCCTCGGACGCTAGAGTCAAGCTCGGTGAAGAACTCCCGTCGACCGATCATGTGATGGGTGGCGCCGGTGTCGAGGCACCACCTGTCAGTCTTGTCGTTGCTAGACCCGTCGCCGAGGAGGGCATGTGCTTTTGGCTCATCAAGGTGGAGGAAAGCCGCTGCGGCCGGTGCCGCTGGAGGTAGCTAGATGCTTGCATGTGCCATGAATAGAGCCGACTCCTCCTCTGCCTGTGTGATGTGGGCCTTGCCACGTCGTGGCTGTCGACAGTCCTTGGCCCAATGGCCAAGCTGGCCGCAGTTGTAGCAGGTGTCGTCTCGTGCCGGCTTGTGCTTGCCGGCGGCGCCGCCCTGGGCGCCTCGGCGGGCATCACCCTCGGCATGTCCTCGCGCCTCGGCCTGGGTGTCTCTGCGCGCCTTGTGCGGCTTGCCACACTTGCGGCCGCCTGTCGCGGAAGAAGGCTCCCCCTTCTAACGGTTACCTTGGCAGGCAACCCACTGCTCCCAAGTGAGAAAGAGCTTCCCGCCAGTGGTGATGGGCCCCGAGAGAGACTGTAGCTCATCGCTGTCGATGACCTTGAGGCGACCTATCGCCTCCTCGATCGACATCGTGGAGAGATCCAGCAGAGACTCGATCGAGCGAGCTATCCGCTTGTACTTCTCGGGGACGCAGCGGAAGAGCTTTTCGACAGCTCTCTCCTCGCCGTAGGTGTCATCACCGAACTGCACCATCTTCTGCAACAGAGTGTTGAGACGGAGAGCAAAGTCACCAACATCCTCACCTGGCTTGAAGGACAG